TGTGTGTGTGTGTGTGTGTGTGTGTGTGTGCGTGTGTGCGTGTGTGTGTGCGCGCGCGTGTGTGCGTGTCGCGGATTCCCCTGTCCAGCTATCAATTTCCTTTCCCATTACTACTTCAGTCATTGCTACTGGTCAGTGTCCCTTTAACTCTTTCCACGCAGTAGGGGATTTATACCATTGTTCCAAGCCACGTGTGTTGCAAATTATGTCACAGGTGTGGGCGGTTGGCGGGTGCTTTGTTGTGATCTTTCCTCCCACTTTCCTGTAAAACATAATTTATCGTTTTGTTTTGTGACTACTGTCTTGTAAGCTACCAGACCTGTAGTCGTGTAACTTGGAGCTCTCATGACCTTGAGGTTAAGGTGTTCGCCTCTCATCCAATATATTTTCGTGTCCCGGGCTCGAATCCGGTTAGTAACGGAAACTTTTCTTCTCTAAAAAAAAAAGTTCTCCTTTCCCCTCCTTCCCTGCTCTCTAACAATGTTCTATCGTCTGCTTTTGTCTCCAATTTTTTGCACCCACCCCCTCACCTCTTTGCCCCCTCCTCTGGGCTCCTCTTTCTGCAGCCTTTCTATTGCTACCTTTTAGCTCCTTCTTACTGCTTTCTTCCAGCCACTCCACTAATCTTATGGTAGGGAAGATCTACAGCGGACGTCATGCCGTTTAAATAACCAGATAATATTGCTAAGGCCTCTTCCATTTCACAATTTGCACTCTCTTGTAAGTTAAGACTGACTTTCAAAATCAGACACGTTTGTTTGTTTGTTTTTAGGGGGGTGGGGGGTTAAGGTCGCGAGACGGTCGTGTTATGCCAAAATAGAACCATTAGCCACTTCCACGAAGAAAAAATCTGGTTGGCCGTGACTCTGACAAAGGCATAACATTGGCACTGTGTGCATCGTTTAAAGTTTAAGAGAACATATTATAGAAATGATAGTGTTTGTATATTTGTATCAGGCTGAGGCTATGTTGGCGAATCGAAATCCTCCCACCCCCCTCCGCCATCTTTCTGCAACAAAACCCCCGTCCCTTTATCGTGCGTACACACACACACACACACACACACACACACACACACACACACACACACACACTCACACACTCACTCACACACACACACACGTACATACGCCCGCGCACACACACACACACACACACACGTACATACGCGCACGCACACACACAAACACACACGCGTACATACGCGCGCGCACACACACACACACACACACACACACACACACACACACAACTCCTTTTTATTGTTTTTGTTTTGTTGTATTTTTAATACCAGAAGCTGTATAAAAGGGTCCAATCACGTGAAAGATAACAATGAATGAAGAACTTGACATGGCCATGTGTAACTTTTTTTTTTCTTAATTTATTTTTCCCTGTTTCGTTTCAGAAAACTTTCAGCAGTGGGCCATCATCGTACCTCTCACAAGCCAGCACAGTGCCAGAGGGGAAAGGAAGCCTAGCTTTTGCCTCTAACACTGCTGTGCTGCTACTACTACTGCCTTTGTCTGCAAGGCCAAGAAAGAGATAGCTCAACATGGCTGCCCGGCCAAAGTCCGCTGTAACGGTGAGTCTCAAGTCTGTTGTTATCGGCCCTTTATTGTCGCCAACGTCAGTTAACATTAATTTGTTCTTGAAATTGTTGTATTGTTCATCTGAAACAAGCAGCACATGTGGTGTTGTGGTTGGGGGCCTCGCTATTGCTTGCATGCAGGGTACCCGAGTTCGATTCCCGAGTGGGGAGAATTTTTTACGAGTATCTCGGTCTACTCTTGCTGCTGTGCTGTTGTATCCCTCTCAACCGGGGTTGGACCCGACAGGCGGAATCGGACCCCCGCGTCCAAACCAAGGAGATTAAAAGTTCTAAGCTCCTTGGTCCAAACTGAAATTGTGTGGATGGGGTTGTGAAAACTTCTTTTTTTTAAAGTAATCTGAAGCAGCAGGTCTTTTGTGCGTTTGACTGGGTTTGTTTGTTTTTTGTTTTGTAAAACGCGAAACAACTAGATCTAGCTGTTCTTAACGAAATAAAAGAATATCGACCTAATGATAAGATAGTGTGTTTTTGTCAAATGTACGGACCCGTTTGCTGAGTGGCGGAAAGTGTGTTTGTGTGTGTGTTTGTGTGTGGCCGGGGAAGGTTTCAACGTGGTTTTCCTTCATATAATTGTAAACAGATACATAGAATAGATCCCTTGGTAGAATGGATTGAATTACCCTGTGGTTCTTTGGTGTCGGAATTAGTATGTGTTCCTTGCTTACAAAGAACGTTGGTTGGGGGATGCTCCTTTTTTCCAATCGAACGTGTATCTTCCCTATCTCTCCTCTGTCTTTTATCAATTCATCAATTGTATGTTACTCTTTTCTTGTGACACCTCTAATCTTTGGCACTAATATGACATACTTGTTTGCAAGTACCTTATAACTCTAAACTTGAACTAAAAATAAACCTTTCCTTGAACAAGAGGCGCGCAGTGAGCTCAGTCGGCAACGTGCCGGACTGTGGGGATGCGGGTGTCCCTGATTTCATTTCCGATCGGGGCATTCTTTTCTATTAATCTTTGAGCTTTCATTATTATCGGCCCTCTTGGCTCTGTCCTGTCATGTGTTTAGAATGAAGGTCCTATACGTCTCTCTCTCTCTCTCTCTCTCTCTCTCTCTCTCTCTCTCTCTCTCTCTCTCTCTCTCTCTCTCTCTCCTCTCTCCTCTCTCTCTCTCTCTCTCTCTCTCTCTCTCTCTCTCTCTCTCTCTGTCTGCCTCTCTCTGTCTGTCTCTCCCTGTCTCTCTCATTTTTAAAAAACCTACTGAGGTCGAAGCGGGCATTAAACGTATATCATAATTATATCGGACCAGACAACAGAATAATATGCACTTGAAGATAATAGGACGCCGTAGTCTTGGCTTGCAAGAAGAAAGCCGTATTGCATGTTCAAATGATAAAACATCTGTGACTTCTGTGCGTCTGTGGCATGCACAGTGAGATCGATGGGTAAACGCCACAGCTGTCTTCAGTATTGGCAGGCATTTTGTAGTGTTGGCAGGCACACACACACACACGCAGACACACACGTGTGTCAGTGTCTCAGTACGTATTAAGATTGTAAGTAATAGGTGTTTGTGTGAGTGTGTGTGTGTGTGTTCTTGTCGTGATCAGTATTCGTGTCTTAGTTTGGATTTGGCAATGAGGATTGAGGAGTGTGTGGACACGATGACTGCCTAAATAGTTAACCCGGGGTAAACAAAAATCAAAGCAAATTAGGCACACAGAAACGACAGACGAAAAGAAAAGAAGCAGTACCTACCAGTTGTGTTGGACCATCCAAGCCAAAAACCGAGGGCAACCTGGATTCTGTAGATCAGATTTTATATTTACTTTGCTTCTCTTGTTGTTTGTTTGCTATTTTTTTTAATATTTTAATCTTATTTATTTATATATTTTTCTACTAAAGATCCCGTTGTTCTAGATCTAAATAGTTTTAAATTATGTAAAAGTGTTTATTTCATTTTGTTATTATGTATTTTTTTCACTGCCATACGCAATTGAAGTGGGTTTTCTGCAAATAAATCCGAGTATTTGCAGCCCTTTTCTTCTTAGTAAGTCTGCAGTATGAAACTTTTTTTCTAATGCGCTCTTCGTTGTATGTCTTAAGTGTGTGCTTGTGTGTGTGTGTGTGTGTGTGTGTGTGTGTGTGTGTGTGTGTGCGCGCGCGCGCAATCGCGTTTTTTTAGTAGCTACAGGTGGACCCTGTTTAATGGCGTGTGTCTGTTTGCGTTCGTGTAGGAGCATTTGTGGTGTTGGTGTTTTTTTGGTTTTGTTTTGTTGTTGTTTTTTAAACATTGTGAGAACACTGAGCCGGGATGTTTATTGAGATAGCATCACCTGTTTGGACGAAGCATTCAGGGCAACGGAGAAGTAAATTGTAGTGAATATGAAGTAGTGAAGGACTAAAAATTTGCTCTGTCCCCTTTACAGAAAACGAATCTTGATAATGACGAATTTCCAAGACAGGTAAATACCCCACCCCCTCCCTCTTTCCCCCCAAAAAATCCCAATGTTTTATTATGTAAGAACCACCAGGCTACGACGTGCTGTGTGTCATCTGCTCTTTGGGCCAGTCCGGACTTTTTTTATATGACGAAATGTCCTATTATTAACCATTTAACCCTCCGTAAGATCACAGCAGACCTTAAAGCTTTGGAATTTTACGCATTAGATTTTATCAATCTCCCCCCCCCCCCCCAAATCGATGGCTCCCGTGTCTTCCGCCCCACACTACATTTATTGTACAGTATGCTATTTTCCCATACTGCCTCATACCCATGGACGATGGGTGGGCGCTGTCCTGTGATCTACAGTCCATTAATAATTAATTGGCGAGGCTGCGTTCACCCCCACGTTAGCTTACTTCTAATAGATGGAAACAGACGAGGAACCCAGTCTACGGGGACGTACCTTCAGTGCTTTATTGATTAACAGATGACCCCTGCTCTGTCTACTTCGTCTGATGGGTGTTTAGTGGGTGGTCTGGAGTGTGGGTTTACTTCTTCTTTCCTATCAAACATCGATCCTCCTTATCTTTCTTCCTTCTTTTTGTATTTGTGACACCTCTATTCTTCGGCACTTATGTTATGACCTTACTGTGTTTTTAGTGCTGTAAAGCTCTTACTAAACTAAAACTACATTTTTTTCGTGGATGCTTGGCGTGTGCTCTAGTGTGGGTTGCCCCTTCTTTTCTATCAGACATCTATCCTTTTTAACTCTCCTTTTTGCAAAAGTGTAATTCTGTTACACTTTATAGCCTATTTGTGTTGCAAAGTCCCATGAAAGTCTTACTAAAACAAAACTAAACGTTTACTTTCCACTTTTACGACCTCCTTTATAATTAGCTCATGGCGATATACAATGTATACCCATTATAATCATCCCGACTTGCCGTGAACTACAACACGAGGACAACATCATGTGTCGTATCCTAAGCCAGGGAGAAGAGGGAACCGGCCAACCCGGCGAATCCGCCGGGACATTTATCGATCATCTCAATTGCCTCAGGAATGTGTGGCATGTGGGTCTCTCTCCCCGGGGAGCCATGCCCACTGAATAGGTTGGGGCGCCGGGGGGTGGATCGTGCAACTGTTGGCGGAGATTTTGGCACTCTGGTGATGTTGTGGCCTGTACAGAGGTACAATGCAGTTTGAAAAAAACTAAAAAAAACACAGCTACCTGTACCTGCGTTGCTGACAGCTGAAAGCTCCACATACCGGACTCTGGCGTGGAGATCATTACGGGAGAGTGCGCCGCTGTTTCGAGCTCTTCCTCTTACTGCTTTAATGACGCGCCTTATTCTTCGTTGTTTACACTTGTACTGTGTACAGTTGTCTTGTAGGTGGTTGGCGGGCTATGTGATATGGTTTGTTCTCTCTTTCCCTTCTTCTTCTTCGTCTGCACTGATACTGTTTATCGTTATCTTGTGAGAGGTTGGCGGGTGCTCTCATGTGGTTTGCTCCTTCTTTTCTACCAAACTTAACTTCTGTTGTCATTGTCTCTCCTCCGTCTTTTCTTTGTATGTTGTTTTCTTTTAAAACCTCTGGGCTTTGGCACGTATATGGATCAAGTGTGTTACAACAAGTGCCGTCAACCTCTGACCAATCTATAGCTAAACTAAACCAATTTTTTCTCCGTCACCCATTGGTTCCAAGTTGTTCTTGATCTACATGTGCCTCTTTTACCTTGTGTTTCTATTGAGAGCAATGTATTATTCAAGGCCTTGGTGTCTATTCAACTGCATTTGTCTCTTTCTCGTTGTTTTTATTACTGAGAAGGTGCTCTGTTTGCTCAGCTAAGCTGGTATCATGCTGGACTAAAGAACAATTGTCCACGGTTCAAATCCCAAACTGGGTGTTCTTGAACTCAGATAGTTGTATGGATTTTCCAAGGTTCTCAGTGGGTGGTTGGCGGGTGCTCTGGTGTGGTTTGCTTCTTCTTTCATATCAAACATCTATCGTCTTTATCTCCCCTCTTTCTTTTTTGTGTTTGTTGCTCTCTTGTAACACTTCTAATCTTCGGCACTTATATGACCTTATTGTGTTGCAAGTGCCATAAAACTTACTAAAACTAAACTAAACAAGGTTCTCAACACATTTAATTTTGCTCCGTCCTGTCAGTCTCATATAAAATTGAACACATGCCCTTACACTTGCACTATCGGATTTCATACAGGCACTACCTTCTTTTATTTCTTTTCCTTTCATGAAATTATTCTTAACACCAGCTTTCGGGTTTTTAAATATGTATCTTAGATATTTGAACTGTTGAACTTTGTTTGGTCGATTCACCTGTGCTTATTCAAATATAAAAATAACCACAGACTTTCATTTTCTGTCACAATAGTATTTAGAAGCAATTGAAGCTGGCACTTCATGTCCGTTTTTTTATGTGCTTTTCTTTGCCCAAACTCAAAACCCATTTTGTTAAAACAGCGTGTATGCTATGAAATATAGTTGAAACGAGAAGCCGGGGACTGTGATTTAGCAATTAGGCGCTTCGCTGTCGCGTCAGGAGACTCCAGTTCGGTTCCTGAGTGGGGAGAATTTTTTTTATCGAGAGTCTCGGTCTTTTTGCCAGGATGCCTTAAATGATCTAAATTGTGTCGATGTGGGCATAAAAAAACATTTTCATTTTAAAAATCCCAACAAATGAGAGACACTTCTTGTAACCAACATTATGCTTTGTTGTGTGTGGCCTGGCAGGGACGTGAGTTCGCCATTGCTCGACACTGCTAGGTGTTAAGGGTTATACAAAGAAAAGAAAACCGGTAAAAAGGACAGGCTTTATGGCCCCTCCACTTACAGCTGGCATATTTGATTTTGTTGTTTCGTACTTTCATTACAGTAGCAGATCCCTTTTTTATAATATGATGTGCCGATTGGTTTAACATGGGCATGCTTGCTTCAACCGTCTCTATACTCTGTCTGTCTGTCTGTCTGTCTGTCTGTCTGTCTGTCTGTCTGTCTGTCTGTCTGTCTGTCTGTCTGTCTGTCTGTCTGTGGCCTAGTGGTTAAGCTACCGGACTCGTAATCGTGAGCTTGCGGGTTCGGGGTTTCGAGCCGCGGGCCCGGCGTTGTGTCCTTGGGAAAGGCACTTTACACGAATTTTCCCCACTTCACCCAGGTGAAAATGGGTACCCGGCTATAGATAGTGAAATATCTTGTCTGTTTGTTAGTGTTTGAGCGCTTAACCAGCTGCTTGCGCTGCATGCTTCCCAAGAAGCTGACAATGGTTCTGAGTGTTCTATGGTCTGCCGGGGTAATAATATAGTGTAAAGCGCATAGAGCTTGCTTTCGAGTGGGGATATGCGCTATGCAAATGCTATTTATTATAGTCTGTCTGTCTGTCTGTCTGTCTGTCTGTCTGTCTGTCTGTCTCTCTCACTTTGTCTCTGTCTCTCTCTCACCCCCCCTCTCTCTCACCCCCCCTCTCTCTCTCTCCCCCCCTCTCTCTCTCTCTCTCTCTCTCTCTCTCTCTCTCTCTCTCTCTCTGTGTGTGTGTGTGTGTGTGTGTGTGTGTGTGTGTGTGTGTGTGTCTGCGGGTGGTTTAAGGGTGCCACTGGTTGGTCCTATTTCTTTACTTTCCCTTTTGTTTCTGTCTGTCTTACTTTTGGAATAAATGACCATTATTATGTCGACGTGCTTCTTGCTTCTTTTTGCTCACACTAAACTAGACGTGGATCAACATTGTGAGCATATTATATTATGGCGTAGATTTATTAGGCTTTTATGAGAGCATGTTGAAAATGAGTTATTAAAAGAAATACTGTTTTGAGGAAACTTGTAAAAATTCGAATTTTCTTTTTTTTTCAAGATTTTATCATCTTTCAAAACAGATGTCAAATTCGTTGTTTTTTCTGTTGAATGTTAGCTTAAATCGTCTGGCTTTGGGTTTTTTTTTTGTCCCAGTAGTAGTAGACAAGTAAACTGGAAAGTGATTTCAAGTGTTGGGACACTAGTGTCCCTAGCCTAGTGTCCCAAGCCACTATGTGGGGCTCCAGCACGTAACACGGTTCTGCAACACACACAATAAGAGGTTTGACACCCTTTCAACATATTTAGGAGGCAGGCTGTTTTACGTGTCAAAGCCAGCCCATGCTGACTGGGGTTCAACACCCCAGCTGAAATGCGGAGATTGTACTTAGTACAAAAAATGTTGCCGCTGAAAGGTTCTGTTTCTAGACCTTGACTCAGTTATTTCTGTCAGTCAGCCTCACTTTTTTCCTTCCCCTAGCACAAAATGGATATTGTCTGGACATTGCGAGCGCCGTAAAACCTCTACTGAAACAAAACATGTTTTGTTTTTGTTTCATTTTCTGCTTTTCTTTGTTTTTAGTTTTGTTTCTCTTGGTCGTTCTTTGTTTCTTTTTTTTTGGGGGGGGTTAAGAATTTTCTTGAAGGAATGGAGGGGGGGTGTCGTGTTGTGTGTTGTGGTCTTGTTTCTCATTGTGCTGGTTTGTCTTGAGTCTTCATTACTGTTGTGGGTGGTTGGCGGGTGCTCTGGTGTGGTTTGCTCCTTTTTTTCTATCAAACTCCTATCACCCTTATCTCTCCTCCTTCTTTATTGTGTGCGTTACTCTCTTGTTACATCTATTCTTTGGCACTTCTATCTTTTTGTGTTGCACGTGCCGAGGAACTCTTACTAAAACTAAACATTAGTATTGGCTTCTTACCCCCCCCCCCCCCCCCCCTGCGGTGCCACTGACTGAAGTGTCTTTAGGCCATTCCCAAAGGGAGGACATTTCTCGTTCTAGTGCACAGTAGAATTGTAAATGGGCTGAATTAACATTGTCATGCTCATAATTGTGCCTGAACTACAACAGGGAACTGCTGCTTTTTCTTTCCTAATCCTTACTATCGTCATTTTCCTCTACTTCTTTTGTGTGTTTGTCACGCCCTTTTGACCCACTATTTCCGGGGTGCCTTGATAGTCGAAGCGGTCTTTGTGCTGCTGAGGCTAGAGAGGTGAGCGGAGCAAGTCTGATTCCCTGTGAGGACTTCTCTGTTGACATCCACCCCTTGACGCTCCTATGACCTTATGCAGTTGCGAGCTCCGTATAACCTTACTAAAACAAAACATTGGTTTCTTTTGTATCTGTGCAGGCAACAACAGACGTGAACCTGGACTTCCTGACCAAGGAGGAGCGGGAGGCGTTGTTGTCACAGAAGATGGACATGATCCGGCAGCGAAATAAAGCCCTCAGTGAGAGGCACCAGGTGAGAAGGATTCCTATCACTTTTTAAAAGGATTTTCTAGGAAGAGTTTTACGGCACTTGCAACACAATCAGGTCATATAAGTGCCACTGAAGATGCTGAGAAATAGAGATGTGTTACTTGAGTGTAACATACAATTTTCAAGCAAAAGGAGGGGTAAAACTGGTTGAAAGTGTGGGTGTTAAGTCTTTTGTTGTTGTTTTGGGCTCTTTTTTTCTTTTTTTCTTGTAAAAGTTTTAAAGTACTTGCAGTATGCAGATGTATTGCTGTTGTGCTGTGTCTTCATTGGGAAGCTTGTATGTACAGTACGTAAAACGAAATGTTTTTAGAGGCATAAGGCTTTTTTTTTTCTCGGGCGGAGGGGACTTTTTTTATGGGGGGGGGGGGGGTATTTTTGAAAATATTTTTGATTAAGTTTTCGTGGGTGGTTGGCAGGTGCTTTTGTGTGGTTTGCTTCTTCTTTCCTATCAAACATCTATCGTCCTTAACTCCCCTTCTTTTTTTTATGTTTGTTACTCTCTTGTAACACCTCTAATCTTCTGGCGCACATATGACCTTATGCAGTTGCAAGCGCCGTAAAACCTCTACTTTAAAAAAAAAAAAGATTTAAAGTTTTCTGTTATGCGTCACTGTATTATGCGGATTTGTGTTATTTCAGATGATAGAAGCTGATAAAAAAAAGGCAGAAGATGCTGGGATTGCAGTGAAGGCTGTTGACAGTAAAGTGAGTTCTGTGCCTTTGTATTTTTATCGATTTGTTTATTTAATTTTTGTGTGAAGTGAAGTCTCCTGTCACCCACCATGCTCTTCAATAGCCAAAAAAGAAGACTATGGATGAGATGTTCTTTGCTGTGACTGAGTATTTTGCTTCTTGCCTCATTTCACCACTCTAGTATCAACTTTTACAGTAGTATATTTTTTTGGGGGGGGGCTTGTTTTATCAAACTAAGGGGAAAGATGTGCCTGTTTTACTGCTTTCTTGGTTTAGTGTAAAGTCTTTCTTACAGAATTTGGAGATTTATTTTGTCGGTAATTTTTCTTTCTAGTTTTCATGGTCTTGAGGTACGGTGTTCGCCTCTCATTCAATAAATCCTAGATTCGAAACCTGACAGTGGTGCAAACTTTTCTTGTTTAAAATTGTCTCCTGCCTTTCACCTCCTTTCCTGCTCTCTAGTCATGTTCTTTCATCTGCTTTCCTCTCCACTTTCTGCATCCTTCCCCGCTTTTCGGGGCTCCTCACTTTTTCTACTACTACTCATTTCTCAGTGGGTGGTTGGCGGGTGCTCTGGTGGGGTTTTGCTTCTTCTTTACTATGAAACATCTATCGTCCTTATCTCCCCTACTTCTTTTTTATGTTTGTTACTCTCTTGTAACAGCTCTAATCTTCTGGTGCTCATATGACCTTATGCAGTTGCAAGCACCGTAAAACCTCTACTAAAACTAACTCATTTCTCACTGCTGTCTTTCAGCCACACCCCCTCATCTTAGGGTAGGTAATATTGAACACCTTGCTTTGTCTAGTAAGGACGAAAAAATCTTGGAGGTCCCGTGTGCAAGTTGTGCACATGAAAGATCCCCTGGTGGTCATTAAATCGATAAGAGTAGGCTTCGGCTTACACCCAGGCAAAATTCAAAATTTAATCATTTCCTACAAAAGTGAGAAGGCTTAAATGTGTACAACCTGTGTCCTGTGCGCTCATATGACTGTTTGCAGTTGCAAGCGCTGTAAAACTCTTTCCAACACAAATTATGTAGTTGAAGAACTGGTTTGCTTTGTTTTTAAAAATACTGTTTTGCAAACTGAGCTGGCCGAAGTCCTGCCTAGAGGAGATGCAACTCTCTTTATAAAGAAGTGCAGCTCAAATATATGCTTCAACCTCTGTGATGTCTTTTGACCTCTAATCTTCAGCGCTTCTATTACCATATTGTGTTGTAAGTGCTGTGTATTTTTTTTACCAAGACTAGAAAAAAATATGTGTCATTTTTTAATAGTGCCAAATGATGAATAACCATTTTTATCATTGTGTGTTTTATTTTAGAAAATGTTCTTATTCCTTCCTCAGACATTCCCTGCAGAGGGGGCACCAAAGCCAAGGGGTCGTGGGAGAGGTCAACCTCACACAAAAGAGGCTAACAGACCTGCCCGAGAGAGACCCAAGTCTTCAGTGGTATTTTGTTAATTGTTTCTTTCATCATAGAAGTATGTGTGTCCAATGTGATGTGTTCTTGATGAACAGGCAGTGGCCCGTCAAAGTCTACCATTTTAACTTGCAGGCATTTATATTTGATGTATTTCCTTTATTTCTTTTCAGAGTTGCTTTACTTCTAATCTTTTTGCTTTGAGTGGTTGGCGAGCTCTCTGGTGTGGTTTGCTCCTTCTTTCGTATGAACATATGTCATCCTCAGCCCTTTTCCTTCTTTTCTTTGTCTTGTATATGTTACTCTCTAGTATCACTTCTAATGTTCGGCTCTTATAAGGCCTATTTGTGGTGCAAGTACCATAAAACTCTATGTAAAACTAATCTTTTCCCTGTTAAATGTTGCAATTGTCTTGGCAACTCGCCATGAAGAAAGGCTTAAGGAATATTGTCCTGCTTTTAGTTCTTTCCTTTTAAATATCTATCATCCTCATTTTCTTTGTATGTGATGTATGCTTGTATGCTTTGTGGTGGGTCTTAGGGATCTCACAACTGGAAAAGAGAAGTCTATAAAGTGTACTGAGACGATGGACGAGTGAGAGAGAGTAAATATTTCTATCATTGTTTTCATCAATATTTTTTTAGATTTGTGTAGGCAGTTCTCAGAGAAAAGAAAGTCTTTAGTAGAGGTTAATTTAAAAAAAATAATTTTTTTTTTTGGGGGGGGGGATATATCTGGTCATTGTTATTATGCATGTGTTACGGCTTGGAAAATCAATTTACTTTACAGTGTTTATAAGCTCTCCTGTAGTCAAGATTGAATGGGGGTGGTTGGCGGGTGCTCTGGTTTGGTTTGCTCCTTCTTTCCTATCAACATCTATCATCTTTATCTCCCCTCCTTTTTTGCGTGTTACTCTCTTGTAACACCTCTAATCTTCTGGCGCTCATATGACCTTATGCAGTTGCGAGCACCGCAAAAGCTCTACTTAAACAAAGAACAAGATTGAATGCTGAATGTACATGTATGGTTACATTTACTTGTCAGTGATGGACCAGATCTGTGGTGTGATATACACCTTTGTTCGAGTTTATCTCTAAATGTTTGTGTTGTTACTATTTATAATCTTAATCTGTTGCACTGAAATGCTGCAAGTGTCATGCTGGTGGTTGGAGGTAGCACTGGTAGGTCCTACTTCTTTGCTTTCCCACTTATATATATATGTATGTTTCTGTCTATTTGTCTTGCTTCTTTCCCCTGCACTTAAAGTTCGTTGTTGTGTTGATGGCTTCATTTTAGTCGCTCAAAACGCAGTGTACTGCAACTCAACACAAATATTATTTCTCCAGGAATTTCGAGATTCTTCACACTATGAACCCATCGTGGACATGTCAGATTTGACCAACTCCAAATCAGAGCACAAGGGCAGAGGTCGTGGGGGCCCTGGTCACAGACAGGACCATGAATGGGATGGCCCAACAAACACACCCAAGAATCGGCGCAAGCCGCATGCTAAGGAGGAGGTGAGTCCAGCTCGTGCACCACTCCCCTTTCCCCCCAAATCTAGTTGATTAATTCTACTTCTTCCTCCTGAAACTTTTTCAAGAGCACAATTTTTAAAGTGTTGTGATTTACCCCCTCCTTGTAGTAATTTCAGTGACCCCCATGCATTTCACGAGTGGTGTGACTAATCCAGAGTTTGAACGAGCACATCAAATTTCAAGTTGGTTGTCTTGTCGTATGCTTCGACCCCCATAGAGCTGTTTATGTGCCATACATATGTACAGACAAATAATGATTTCTTGATACTATGCCTTTGCTTATGACATGACTTTCCTGCAAGTCGCTGTAGCATGGAGGGTGATGTAGACCCAGTGAGTGCTGTGCAAGTTAACTGAGAGCACGGAAAAAGGACCACATGCCTACCCCCCTTAAGCATTTCCCTTACTTTTACTGTTTAGTTTTGCAAGCTAGTCCTATGCTTACTCAGAACAAACATGTTTTGCTTGATCCATCCTTATTATAGATGATTTTCTCGACTTTTGCTTTCTCTACTAGGCCACATTCATTAAAAGCCAGTGCTTCTCCAAGGTGAATTCCTTTTCTTCTGTTTCTTGTGGACTTCTGCTGTCTGTAACAATTTTGTGTTGCATTATTTACCTACTCCCTCAGCTTGTAGGCTGTTGCATTTTATTTTTGTTCAATGTTTTGCTGCCCTTTTTCTTTCCAAACTCTTAGAAACTGCTTTTGTAGCCATTACCTATTTCTGCAAAATGTCATTTTTACCTTCTTTTTTTTTTTTTTTTTAGACGTGTCACAATTCTCTTAAATGGATCAATTTTTAAATGGGACTCGAAGTAATGGGTAAAGATTAGATTACATTCTCAGCTATGTTATATTATTAATTGTGTTAAGTGAACTCTAGATCATCGCGAGTTCTATGCTGATGGTCAGAGTGGAAGAGAATTGTGCATGTTCAGCAGCAGTTGTTCTGTCTGTCTATTTACATCATTGTATCATACCGCCTCTTTTGATGTTTTCACCTCTCTTTTTTATTATTATCCTCAGCTGTTTGTTTTACATTTTGATTTGTTGCATTTTGTAGCATTTTTTTGTTTTGATTATTCTTTTCATTGGAGGGTCGGGGGTGGTTCCTTGAAAATGTTTTTCTTTTGTGTAAGTATGTTTTACTACAAAATTGAAGAAAAATGTTTTTAAAAAAACCAAAAAAAACCCAATCGGAATAGTATATCATGGAAAACAGTATTTGTAGATGTTGTTCTGTTATTTATTGTTACTTTTGTTTCAGACAAGAGTTGAATTCATATTTACTGTTATGTATCTTTTTGGAAAGGGATGTATGAAATTAAATAGCCAGAGGTAGTCACTAATGAAAGCTGTTCCTTGTTTCATTTTTATGTAGTTTTTTCATGCTTCTCACTCTCATTTCTGTCACCGAGTAGATTCCTCTTTACTGGTAGTTCATTGTGTTGTCGTTTTTTTGTCATCAGTTTCATGACTCATGTCTTTCAAAATCTTGTCACGGAAGTCTCTGTTGTTTGACACTGTGATTAACACTGCTTTCGTGTTGGTCAAGCCTTCAGCTAGCTCATCTCACCAGATGTCTGTTGTGACCGAGATGTCCTCAATTTTCAGCATGCCCGTCCATCATCCACCTCCACTAACAGGACGTGTCTCACTGTCCGCACCATGTCGAACACATAATAATTCTGTCAGCTTTGGATGTTAAACACTTCATCAATGTCATGTGCAGGCAGCTACTCCTTCCCCGGGCACCTTTGAGTACGAGCCCATCGTAGATATGTCAGACCTAGACCAGCGGTTTGGCCGATTGTCCCAGCACAGCGAAACCAGGAATTCTGCCGATCAAGTGAGCCACCCAAACGTATAAGGATTCTCATACTAGCTGCTGGCTGTACAGAGCAGGTCTTTCAGAGGTCACACACGCTCACACACTGGCAGCTCCACACATAGGCTGATTTTTGCTTGCAACAACTTTCTTTCTTGGGCTTCTTGGTTGTGGAGCTTCCCCAGAGCATGGAAGACGTTGTTACAGCTCTTTACCTATGCTATACTTGGATTTCTATCAATAAGTGTCGATGTCAAGAAACTGCTTTTTAAAAGGCGCATGTGGGAGATAATGTGTTTTATTATCTGAAAAAGTGGGCAAGCCCGTAGACATTTTAAACCTTTCTTGAATTTTGTAACTCAACATTTTGATTAATTAAGAAAGAACTTGTGTCCTCAACGTTCCTTAAAATATGCATAACTCACAATTTATTTAATGTTCATTACATTTCTTGAACCATGAAGAGTTTTAAAAAATGAAACTCCTTTCAAAAGAAAGTTGTTGAAGTACAAATAGATAAATCGACAACAGGTCTTTTCTCAAGTAACCCCCTCTTCTTCTAGTTCAGTAGGCTGACTGAACTTATAGAATAAATGTCTTGTGTGGCCCTTGGAATCTTATATGGGACATTGTATCTCCATTATTACTTATGAAGAAACAAACATGTATGAACATAATCCCCAGTACAGAGTACAATGTGTAATCCGGTTGTTCTATCCTTTTGTTTGTACAGAAATATTCATAATGATATGTACCCATTCACTACAGTTGACATGTAGCAGTAAGCTTGTGGTATCAGCAGATGGCTTTAGAATAATAACACTATTTTCCTCATTTATATTATTATACATATTTTATGGGAAGGGTGTGTTTCTCTCTGAAGGTGCAGGTTACGTCCAGTTAGAGAAGACTAGGGAAGTTGTTGTTTGTTGTTTGGTTGGTTTTTTTTTTGGGGGGGGAGGGGGGTTGTTTTGTATTGCTTTAATTTATTTTTTTTTTTCTTTAAATATATAGTTTCTTGGTATATGTGGGTAAACCCAATGTTTCCTATGTTTTAAATGTCAAATAGGGTAAGTTTCAGTTGTTTTTCTTTTTTTTTTTTCAAGAAGATATTTTAAAACCTGTGGCAAGAATAATTTGAGGCTTAGTTTAAAGTTGGTCTTTGTAGGAATGGGAGCATATACATGTCAATGATGTATATCTAATATACATGTATAATATTAACCAAGTACAAATAAGTTCCTCTCTGTATTCTGCATATTGTCATTACCCCCATCCTCCCCCATCTCCCCGACTCTCATCGACAGCTCAATCCTGCCTCACTCAATTCCCCTCTTCTTGATAGGGCTGCCAAGGTAACCCCCCCCCTCCCCTTCCCCCTTCCATCCCCACAGCCCATAAACATGCCTGTTACATGATCCCTGTGTGTGCTCTGACTAGTCTGACAGGAATGACTTCTCATAACATGCTGATGCAGTTTTGGCATGCTGAAGGAAAAATAATGATAAATAACATTTGTATAGCACATATCCTCACTCGAAAGCAAGCTCTATCGCGCTTTGCAATGTATATTATCAGCCCCCCACAGACCTTAGAACACTCATAAACACTCTCAGCTCCCCGAGAAGCATTCAGTGCAAGCAGCTGATTCAGCGCTCAAACACTAACAAACCGATAAGATCTCTCACTGTCTATAGCTGTGTACCCATTCCCACCCAAGTGAAGTGAGGAAAAAATATTTTCATTGATCAGCTCTAACAGTGATAAGTGACTGTGGCAGAAAACAGCCACTGAGATGGCATAATGACAGTAGGAACCTTTTTGAAATGAAGGTATTAGGCAGCAACTTTAAGCTCAACTTTTACTTTCACTGCTTAGAACTTCTGATGGGTATTTTACATAAAAAATGTATTTCAATTAGGGATGCCTGGTTCCTCTTGCAGTGGCAGACAAGGAAGTGTTCAAAGAAAGAGGCCCAGTCAAATAACAAACATTGGATTCCAATAGCGCTCATATACTGAAAGTCAAATAGACATTTATTGTGGGTATTCTGTGAGTTTAAAAAAGAGCAGGTTGTGCTAATTTAGGATCTAGGATGATGAAATAAATTTGCACATAGGACTTTTTTGGTCCTAGGAAAATGTAATTTTGGTGACACTTGCCAGTGTGACAGAGGAGATGAAAAAGGAAGAAACGTTTTGTCCTTGTAAATAAGTAATGGAAGTGGAAAGGGTGGAGGGGGTCAGTTCTTTCAAAATCCGGCTATTTGGGGACAAGAAGTATTCTACAGGTCTGTTTTTGTCAGTGCTCTCAAACAGGAGCTAGCAGTCTCAAATTATCAGACATTGAAAACCAGAAAAGAGGGAGGGAGAGTAAAGAGAAAGTAATAGTTTGGTTGTTGTTTTTTTAATCGTCTCTCGTATGCAATGGCTTTTTATGCATGTAGGCAAACACTTCTCTTGACCGGCATCTGTGGTGTAAGTGGTTAGTTACTTTGCCGCCATGTGTAGAACACATCAGTTTAATTCCTGTGTCAGAAGGTTTTTATACAGAACTCCTCTGTTGTTTCCTTTTTTTTGAAAATTGTAGTCTAATGGTGACATTACAAAATCTTCAATTACGTTACAGTTATAATGAATGACTTCTGAATAAATATCCTCTTCAAGATGACTGATGGCAACATTCATGAACTCTTGAATTTGAATTTGTCCAATAACATGTTTTAAGTTTGCCGTGGAATTTAGACCCTTATTTTTTTAAGGATTCTCATTATTAAGTTTTGCTGTTGCTTTTTCCCCAAGGAGCTGGTGGGCGTGGTGTTACCTTTTTTATGCTGTGTTCTGGGGATCTAGTTATCTCACGTTCCCAGTAATTCTGTGTCTTGTTAGCTCTTTCCTCTAATGTTCACACTCATTTGAATATCTGGTAGCCCATATTTGCATGTATGTGCTGAAATTTGGGTCTTTCTTGCTCTCATTCCTTACTCCTTCTCCCCCCCAAACCGCCCCACCTGGTTTTATAGCACAACACACTTGCTTTGTGCTTCAAATGTACTCTTTTTTGGCATGTACAGTTGTCCAATGTGATTTTTTTTTTTCAATTTATAACCTGGAAATTATATCATCCTAGCTGTTGGAATGGTATCAAAGCGTCTCTCTTATAAAATGACAAACATTTTCATTTCAGTAACTAACACAGTTGATAGTATGTACTTCAAAACTCTGAGTGCTCGTAGTAAGCAATCATTTTTCTCCTGATTAGTGAATTTATGTTATTCTTTGATATTTGGATTCATTAATTCTTTGTCTAACATTATTTTGTCTTTGTGAACTAACAGAGGCTCGGTTCTTAACTTTTTCATCCATTTGAACAGACCCTTTTCCTCATTACCTTTCAATCATTCAGGGCTGTTGGTTGTTTATTGATATTTTTTGTTCTATATACTGACTCAAAGCCTCGACGGGGTGTTTTTTTAACTTCATTTTTTTAATGGAATTTTCAACTCTCTCCTATTAATTAGCTCGTTTGCATCTGAGGTGGACATTAAATTTGGAGACCCCAACGATTCGATACCATTAAGAAATTTCATAGTGAGACGAAAGAGAGAAAAGTTTATTTTGATTTCGGAAGTTGTCATATATGTCCTACATTATTTGAATTCATTACAACTTGCAAGACAAAACGAATTCACAATCCACAATTGAACAGGAACTGCTGTCCCCCTTAATGGTAGATTGTTACTGTTGAACTTCTGTGCTCAAATGTACCTGTGTGGGTCTTCTTCCTCTTGATTGCATCAACCTGTGTGGGTGTTAACGTGCGTGTGTCATCTCAGCTTTTTTTTTTTTCAAGCCAAGTGCTGTACTTTTCTCCGCATGACCTTATAATGACGAAAGTGATTCCTAATCCAAATTGGTGAAAAAATGCTTTAATGAAATGAGATTCCAAAATGATGTTTTTCTGACTTTCTGTCTTTGAAAAGAGCAACAAAAAGGGAATACAGTCTGTGCATGAAGAATTCAAGACGATAATGGAAACTGCACGATTTTTACTATTCTTGTATTCTTGTAGTCATGAGCTCAGATTTACTTTTAATGATTGTACATGTATTATAACCAGATTAAACTTTGAAGCCATCACAACTTCCTTCTACTTGAGCCTATTGCAAATGACTATTTGATTGAGATGTGATTTGTTTTAAAGATGATTTCCAGTCAAATGTCTATGAGTGACTGCACAGAGTTTTTACTTTTCTAGCATGACATGACACTGAGAAGTGCAACTTTGATATTTGTTATGCATGCTCTTGTTTAGAAATGACCAAATTTCTTTTTATGCTGAAAATATTTGTTTATTGATTACCAATGATTGCATTATTAAAGTTATGCTTGTGGAAGGGTTTTAGCACAAAAAGTTCCAAGTAAGGGATGTTTTGATGGGGTTGTGTTTTTTAAATCATAGTGAAAATAGACCTGCATGTGTGAGCATGATGTGTTTTGTTAGTTAATGGAAGTTTGGTGTAAATACTTTTTATAATGAGAATTTTGTACAGGTTTCACAGTCTGTACATACTTTTCTCCTTCTGTCTTGCATGACACTTGTTCATGGTGTGTAAAAGCGAAGAATATTTGTCAACGTAGCTGCGAGGCAAGACATTCCTACTTGCTATGAAAATGTCACTCTAAAAATTAAGGTGCTTTGAAGATACTGTCTGCTCATTCTTTTGTTAAGCTGTAACTCTATACAATTATAGATGCTTATGTTGGGAAGAATTCAAACTTCAAGAAAATGTGATCTGTTGTATTTGTTTCATAATATGAAGAAAAGTTCTTTAATGAGCAGTTATGAAGTTTTTTTAAGCATGGCATAATAGGACTGCTGTTTTCAAGGGCAGTACGTTCGTGTTGACAGCCCTACATTTCATTGTAATATCAATGTTCTTGAAATCCTGTATAAAGTTTGTAAATTTATTGTTTTCAGGGCGGATATTCTGGTCACAGGGGAAACAATCGTAGACACGATGATGCTGACGTAAGTATTTCTTTTTTAACTTTACTCCTTTTTTTTTTTAGTTCAGTTTCACTTTTTTTTTTTGGGTTGTCATTTTTTAAATTTTGTTTTAACCAGTTCGATTTAGATTTTATTTTTTATGGGTTTTTAATTTTTCATTGCTTTGTTGCTTTTATTGTACTAAAACTGCCATTGAAAAGGTGGCTCACAAAGAACAGACAAGCTCATTAAATGGAGATAAGATGTTTTTTAAAAATTCCTTTGAACACTGCAAATTTTCAAAATCACACTTTATTTGCAACTGCTTATGCTTTAAAAGTGGGTTGTGAAAGACAGGAAGCACACTTGCTTCTATATCACTTGTTATTTGACTTTCACTGTTCGGAACTTGCAGAGGGTATGTCTTAAAGACGTATTCTATTTGACGGATGTGTGAAACTTGTTGCCGTGTTGAATCTGTGTGCTGGCATTAGGATGAAATCTTTGGAATTGTTGGGCTTTCCATTTTTTGTCAGCTGTGGTCCCATAAGTTTTTATCAAGAATCAAACTGTGAAGTTAGGACAAAAGTTTGGTGTCCTTAAGTCGTTTGTCTTTCATGAACATGTGAGAGAAGAGTGCAAGTCCTTTCTCTCTCAAAAAGGATTGACAAAAATGTTGAAAATTCCCACTGCATTAATATGTGGAGAAGAAGTAGTCAATATGAAGTATTAGTCTGAGATGCAGAAAAACACATTCCTAACCCCAACCTTTGACTTTACTGATCAATGAAAATGATTAGCTGCACCCTTCAAAGTAAGAAAAGGGCAAACCGCCCCCAGCCCCAAATCCTCTCTTTTACACACATCTTGTTCAGTGATTCACACACACACACACACACACACACACACACACACACACACACACACACACACACACACACACACAAATTTACTAAATTCACATTTGACATCATGTCCTATGGACCTGTCGTTGCAGTGGTGACTTGATAGCATAGTCCCTGTGCCAGTTGTTTGTTTGTGCCATGTCCTTAGTTTTAGAGAAAGTTTTACAGCACTTGCTACACAAGTAGGTCATATAAATGCCAAAGAGTCATTATTAGAAGTATAGTTATTGCACTTTTTACAATTTTTCAGGAGAGCCAAAAAACTGGGTGTTGTTACAAATAAAACAACATTTGCTTTAAAGATAATAAAAAAAAACTGGATGTTGTTACCAATAAAACAACATTTGCGCTAAAGATAATAAGAAATGTATTATTAAAATCGTATTCTAAAAAATATTGACTTGGGATGCTTGCAAAGAGTTTATTTTCTTGGAAACAATATTCAGGGGTTTTTTTGGCACTCCTGTAAAATGTTTAATACTAATTTTTTAAAATGACAACAGATAGAGTGTACACTGCAAACTGCTCAAAATAATAAAGGTGTCGCCACCAGCACAGATAGAGACGTCTTGCATTGTTTCTCAAATGGAAGTTCTTTTCGATAAACATTTTGCTCATACTAATTTTGAGCTCTATAGTCAGTTCCCAAAAGTAGTATCTTACACACAGAATAATGGTGGTTGACGGGGGCTCTGTTGTAGTTTGCTCCTTCTTTCCTATCTATCTAACATCTATAATCTATCTTCTTTATATCTCCTGCTTCTTTTCTTGGTATGTAACCAATACCTCTAATTTTCTGCACTTTACTACCTATTTGTGTTACAAGTGCTAAAAGAACTATTGTTATTAAAACAGTAGAATAGATGTTGCCACAGACACTTTTAAGGATAACTTTTGCCTCTCTCATCACAAATAAAGGAGTGGCCCATAGTGTGAAATACAAACATTTGTTACAAACTTTTGTTTTTCTTACTCCACTGCACGCACACACCTTCTCTTTCCCCCTTTCTCTCTCTCCCTCTTTCTCTTCACTTAGGAATTTTTTTCCCCGTAGACTTCTTCATCTGATCTAGCTTTTTCACTTTTTTTTCCCATTTTGCTTGTTTGGTGTTTTTATTGTGAGTGCGTGTGGTTGCGGTTTTGCTTGCATGATCCGCTTATATTGCAGGGAAGGTCTGACCGTTCTAGCCGGAGGAAGGACAATACCTACAGCAGACCTGTTTCGGGTGACCACGTGAGTGGATCATTTGGGCATTTTTCTTCTTAAAATTTCAGATGTATTTGTTTCAAGTTTTTGCTTTTTTTTTTTTTGGTAAATCTCGTGGTGGCAAGTCTTTCTATACAAATGCATGTTGTTCTAAGCACCCGGAGTCACAATAAAGTTCATTATGGAAAGAATGGAAAAATGTATGTTAGTGTGGGGGATTGCTGTATTATATTTGACCAAAGGAAATAAATACAACAAATCTGCACTTTGTCTCTAGCCTATTTAGGAATTACAAGGAAGGGGATGTGTCTTTTGTTTTTAAGGAGAAATTTTGGGAATAATTTCAACTGGGCCTTGTTTAATTGGATATTTGTTTTCTTTTTTAAAATCTCATTGAGGAAGCACACATTGCTAGCTTGGTGAGGCGTTGTTGTGGGCTACTTAAAAGAATAAAAAGCGTGAATTTGTTAGTCATACAGATGTCTCAGTTCTGTTTACTTTGTCCTCGAGTTCAAAAGGCAGGCAATATCATGGGTACTATGAATTATGAAATTTATTGTTTCTAATTTGTGTCTTTTGGTTCCAAATGTGCTAAAACATTGCCTTTGGTATGCTGCTGGTCTGATATGTGTCTCAACTATGTTCTTAAAGAGTTAAAAATAGGATTCTCTGTTGTGCTGAAAACTCTGAAATGATAAAATTATTGGACTGGTTGGTTTTTTTTGGTCTGGTTGCGAGAAGAAGAGGATATGATTGTTACTGTGGACTCAAACTTAGTTTTCTGGGGTTCTAGTGCTGGAGATAGTTGCTACCGGAAAGGGATGTTTGTTATGTTCTCCTGTGACTGAGAAGATGTTATTTATATGTCACCATTTGAAGGGGGTGTTAGTTATATATCACCATAATGAGATGTTTTGTTTCAGTTTAAAGGGGTTTTAGTTATATATCGCCTTAATGAGATGTTTGTTATATGTGACCGTTTGAAGGGGTTTTAGTTATATATCGCCATAATGAGATGTTTGTTATATATGACCATTTGAGGGTATATTTGTGATATATATATATATATATCAGCCTCCTCTCGGGATGATGCTAACCCTTTCATATAATGTTTCACTTTGGCTAGTGATCAGGTGCATGATGAGTGTTTGGATTCTCAGTCCGCCTTTTACAGATCTCGATGTCATTGTGGTTGTTATCATAATCTATTGCTGCCACTTTCTTGGGCATGTCTGTTGCTCTAACTGGTGCCATGCTGAGCGTCACTGTGGAAAGCCCTGGTTCTTATCTCAAAGGGGTGCACTTAAACTCGTATGAGTTCTCAAGATTTTCAGGGGGGGTTGTTGGATGATGCTATAGTGTGGTTTGCTCCTTTTTTCCTACCAAACATCTATCATCCTCTTCTCGCCTTCCTATTGTCTTTCTATGTTACTCTAGCAACACTTCTAATCTTCAGCACTGTTTATGACAACCTATTTACTTTCCAGGTGCCTTACAAGTCTTATTAAAACAAATTCTTTTTAAAAAAATAAAAATTTCCACCCACTTCCCTAGGCTCTTTTAGAGACAGATGTTGAATTTGGAGGCCACGTTGCTTAAATATAAATAACCTTAGATTGTTTCTTGGGGCTATGATTGTTTTGACTTGAAAGAATAATTGTTCTTTAGAATCATGACCAAAGAGAAAGAGTGATACTTGCACTGAGAAGGCTATGTATACTTTTTGATTTGATTTTAATTTAATTGTTAACGGGTTTTCTTTGTGGCGTATGCTCCCATCTGTTTCTGTTTTAAATGGTGGTGTTAGTCTAAATGCTTCTTGTTGATGAATTATAAACTGTAACTTAATTTTACTGTGTTCAAATTCTATTTGTGCATGGTCTGCTCTCTGAGGGCATCGAAGTGAAAGCAGGCACTTGCTGAAATAAAGAAATCCAAGAAACTGTAAATTTGCTGTTTCCAAGGAGTCTCAAGCTTTGGAAGTCACCTAAATGTGGCGGCCAATTTCTCCCGTATTTTACCTCTGACACCAAGTGACACCCCCCCCCCCCCCCCCCCCCCCCCCCCCCCCGATCTCCTTCAATTGAAATTTCCTCAACTCTTTTCAAGAAAAATGATTTTTTTCATCAAAAGCAAAACAAATGAACAAGCTTTAAGATGATACGAATAACTCCATATGTCCAAAAATTGACGAGTGCCTGAGTCCACTATGCTGTGACAAATATGTCGACTCATGTTCTGTAATGAGCGTGCTGTATGGCTTGCTTTTTCTGATGTTTACTCATTTTGTAGCTTGACTAATTATTTTAGACATTTAAAATTAAAACAAACTGTTCTGCTGCTCTTGAAACTAACTGTACCTCTACCCTCCCTTTTGCATGTAGCCCTCAACTGGGGAATATGACGGACGGCTCAAGGGAGACAATGTAAGTCATCATATTTGGGTAGGGTTTGTCTGTGCGTTCTATTGTTAGTCTCATGCGATAGACTCAACTCCTGATTTATCCAAATAGTGTCAATGGGGATGTAAAATGTTTACTTTCAGTCTTGTGTTGCCAGTGAGTGGTTGGCGTGAGCTCTGGTCTGGTTTGCTCTTTCTTTCCTATCAAACATCTATAAATGTCCTTATCTGTTTTCCTTACTTTTCTTTGTGTTTTACTCTGTAGTAACCCCTCTAATCTTTGGCACTTATATGGCCAATGTGTGGGGTTTTTTTTGCCATAAAACTTATAACTAAAACTAAAACTTCCCTCTGTCGAAGTCTGTTCCTGGTAAAATATGGCTGCTGCCATGCCAAGTCACTGTAAACTCAAATACAGCAACAACTGAACACTTATTCTATCGTTTGACCGACCACGGGATTGTAGAAAAAAGTGGATTTCTTGGATCAGTTTTTTTCCCTCCCCACCTGTTCTCAGCATCTTTCAGGACATCTCTTTATTTCTTGCCCCTTAAAGCCTGCGGAGCACTTGATGCAATGTGTTTTTTGTTCTGTTTCATAGAAAGTATTGCTGCTCAAAGCTGCTTTCTCATCGCTGTGCAGCAACCAACATGCCTTCTCTTTTGCCTCATGGCTTTCTCTGCTTATGGGAAATGAAAATGTGTGTGTATGTGTACAGGGCAGGAATTGCCTTTCCCATAGATTACGAATTGGTTGTTGATATTTTGACTATTTTGACCATCATCAGCAAATTCTGAGTATTTTACACTTTATGTTTTTAAAGTCTATATTGTCAAACGTTTTTAAGGCTTTTTTCTGGACTCGATGTGCTATATTTTGTATTGTAAAAAAATTACCTCTAAACCAAATTGTTTCCATATGAATACATGTGACTTCCGACAGGTCTTCTCATGCCACCCAGACATATTGCTCAGTTTCTGTGTCATCAAAGCCAGAAAAACTTTATATATATACGATTCATGCAGTACAGTTGATAGTTCGACAATATTATCTCATTGCATTCTTTTCCTTTCTATACTTTTCCCCCTCCAAGATAGTTTGGAGATGCTTTGCTGCTTGTGAAACACATCCTCGATACTTTGGTTAGCATGGTGTGTTCCTGCTGTTTAAATTATTAGCATGGTCAAACAGTATTGTCCCTCCATATTTGTCTATTCAGAATACTCTAGTTACATATTTCTAGTCTTTAGAGGACTCACTATTGTTAAAGCGGATGTTTGGGGGGAAAATAAGGTCTGTGTGTGCTGAAAGCAATGCAATGCATATATCTGGCAATGGTTCTTTTGTCTTAAGTGCAGTCTCAACATCTTCAATACTTTTTTCCTGCAAATGTTACCATATCTGCAATAATACTTTTGTTACTTACACCCTGCATGACTAAATAACTTCCAGTTTTTGGATCACATGAATTTTACATCTTTATCAATCTTTTAGTTAGCCAAATTTGCAGACAGATTGAAAGACCGAAAAATTGCCATCGCAAAAAGGGCACTGCTCCTTCTTTTGCCTTCTGGTTAACAACGACTTAAATATTTGTTGGTTCTTCTTTCTTTTTCCTCACTCATTTATGTCTGTGGTCATGCTTTTACCAGCAGGAAAAGGAAAGGTCATCACTTTGTCAAGTTCTTGGACTAAAACATTGCTTTTGAGCTCTCATCCACTATTAGGGCATCGCAAGGCACTTGGGTTCAAGGCCCGTGAGCCAGACCGTTGTTGTTTAATTTTGCTTCTCCTCACTCAAACCAACCGTGGCTGTTTTATAAGGCCTTTTACACTTTCTTTTTGTCTACATTAAAACCCTAGTCTTATACTTACTCTTTCTCACATTCTCATAGTCAGTTAGTCAATGAATGTCTGATACGAATCAGCATGACTAATACAGGGAAAGGGACACATGGCACAACCCCCCTCTGATTATTTGTTTTGCTTCTAAAATATTTCCAGGGCCCCCCACCGGATCCCACTTTCAATCCTCTCGCTGACCGGCGGAGACACGAGAGGAAAGAGGACAGCTCGGGCGACCACCGGCGACACCCACGCAACTATGGCGGTGGGTCAGACCTGGCGCGAGTCAAGCAGAGCATGAAGACCATGAGAGAAAAGGTTTGACTTTGACCTGCTCCCCACCTCCCTTTCCTTGTCCATAGGCTGTTTAGTTGGTGCTCTATAGCTTGTTCACTTTCGCCTGACCGCTGTTAAAACAAGATAAAATGAAAGTGCTCTGTTCAGATCTTTGCATACAGGTCTAAAAGTTGGGTGACCAACAGAATCTAAAAGCTTGGTCTTAAAGGTCACTGCAAACTAAGGTTCCGACATGTCTTCTTTGTTGTAAGCGTAAAGCGGGTCAGAAAATAATAGAGGAGTTACAAAATACACCTAAAACAAACGAGTTGACATATTTTCCTCAGCTCCACACTTTAACGTAGGCCTAAGAAACGCGAGTCAAGAGACGAAGTGAGTAATTTTTTTAATTAACAGGGAGCATGTGGAGACGTCTAGACAGTGGAGGGATGAAATCTATAAGCTTACACTGAACTGTGAGGGAAGGGTGGTGTAACTGTCTAAAAAGGAGCAGTTTAAAGGATAGGTCACTGTAAGTCATTTATTTTAGTGGTCCTGTATATGCATCCAAAGAGGTGCTTTTAATACAGGGCCCGAAGAGAAAAGCTTTTTTATTACTGGATCAAGATTTTTTTTAAAAATGTTTTTGTTTGGTCATTGGCCTCCTGAAGTGCCGTGCAAAGTATTGTGGGCATAGATGAATTAGTAAATGAGCTAGAATTTTTTTTACGCTTTCAGACAAAAGTGAAGAAGTTCTAGTGCGGTCTGTCCCTACAACAGTGGTGTGTGCTCAAACTGAAATCTGCAGAACAGCCGGATTTTCTTCGGATTAGAGAGTTTTCTGAAATAGATGGGAAAAAAATTCGGATTTTCTTTTCTTTTTTTTTACTGCGATTTTTGGATTAACTGTTTGTTTTTAGCAGACTCCACTGTATTTGTTTTCAGTATTACAGGATTTATAACGTAGTTCTGAGGAAGTTAAGCTACGGTTTTTGTTGGGGGGGGAGAGGGGTTGTGCTAGACTGCTGAAATAGTCATTTTAACCAACTTTTATGCCTGTTTGTGTATTGTGGTTCAAGTTTGAGATTTTTACCGACTGTTTATTTTTTTTCATGTTATGTTACTGTTGCTATTATGTTAACCTCATCTGGGCTCGTGCCCTTTGACCCAATGCTATGATAAGATGTAGGTTAACGACATCGCTTCTGATGATTGTTGTGGATATTGTCATTATTGCTTTTCTTTGTATATTATGTGCCATGTACCAAAGGTAGATGGGAGTTTTGTTTGGGGGGGGGGTGACAACTTTTTAGCTGTTTTAGTAGATAGTATTTTCTTAAAAAGAAGTCCGCTTAGGCCTCTCTTTAATTATAACAATGTGGAAGTGACGAATGTAGTTTCTGAGACACTTTACTCGATATAAAGGCTTTAAGCATCTCGCTCTTGCTGGAAAAATAGAAGTACAAATGAGGCACACGTAGTCCCAGAGGGACTTTTTTGGAAAACCTGAATAGATAGGTGACTGGGAAACACCAGGGTGATACAAGATTTTTTTAGATTATTCTAGTGGAGAAATGAGTAGATGGTCATGATCACCAATGTCTTTTTTCAGGTCTGGCATTTTATAATGAGTAGATATTAAAATATGAACTGAAATTGAAAAGAGCTAACCATTTTACAGTTTAGGCTCACAACAAAAGACAATTTATTTTTCAGGAGAAAGAGTTTCCGGCGACCAACAAGCCCTTGGAAATCATGATGACTGGCAAGGAGCGGCGTAACCATGAGGAGTGGAAGAAGGAGCGAGAACGGTGCGACCGCGAGCGTATCCAGCGACAGCTTGACGACTCTGGGACATGGCGAAGGGCCTGGGATGTCGAGAAAATCCAGCAGGAGTGAGTTTCGTGAGCGAAAAGTATAGAGAGTATATCGTAGTGAGCTGTTGTAAGAGTATCATGGTGACAAAATGGGACGTGGTGAAATCAGGCGCTTGTCAAAATAATGAAATAGAAGAAGTGAGTACTATTTGGCTGATGATCAATCTTTTTTCTAATTTTCATTTTTTGGCTAAACACCTTTTACGTCCATTTAAAAAATCAATTTTGAGTGGATTTAACTGTAAAACGTTGATTAAAGGCACAAAAAATGTAAATTTTCAGTTTCCAAGGACTCTCAGGTCATGGAAGTTACCAAAATTTGGCGGCCATTTTCTCGCTATTTTTATCTCTGAAACCAGGCGACCCTACCCTCCTTCAATCACAAATATTTCTACTTCTATTAAAGATATATGGATATGTTTTTCACCAGAAGGAAGGCAAATAAATAGTCTTTTAAGATGATACCAATAACCCCATATGCCCAAAAATTGACGAGTGCCTGATTCCAGCACGTCGTAACACAAATAAAGAATGAAGAAGCAGTAAGAAGAATAGGCGTACAAATGCAAACACTCCTCCAGAGTGTACTGAAACTGAACAACTTTGGGCATATCAAACACCATGTTTCAATTGAGATACATAATCTGGGAGCAGAGACTAGAGAGGAAGGTAGAGATTTAACAGAAGATGGGGATGGGGTGTAGATACTTTGCTAGAATCCAAAACAACTCGGGCAGGCAGAATGGCAAGGGACAGAGTGTTTAATTTTGAGAAAGGTCCAAGAATCAATGTGTGGCTCCTGGAAAAGCTAATTAAGTAAACTTGTTGCAACAACACAAAATAGGCTTACGCTTTGTGGGATAGACTGACCTAGGGAGTTATGATGAAGGGGCATGAACCACTGGAAGGGTATAAGACTATCAACTGGCACTTTATGCTGTTTTTAACTCACACACGTGTTACCTCGTCAGGTATGAGGATTCTTCTTACCAGTCATCCAGACAAGAGCCAGCCAAAAGACCAGGTGAGATGACAGTTGTAACCATTTTAGTGGAAAGATTTTTGGGTGGGTTTTTTTTTATATTGGCATCAGTACGACTAATTTAGTCGGCCTCTTTTGCATTCGTTTGTAAACATTTGTTTGGACATACACAGCTGTCAGCAAGTGCTACCTCTGTCCTTTATCATAGTGTCCTCTTGCCGATGTTTTTAAGGATAAGGGAGCATTTTGATGGCGCCATTGACAGGTCCTACATCTATAATTTTTCATCCTGTACCTGTGCTATAGCCCAGGCTGTAGGATTTTCATCTCACAGTGCAGTTGGTTTCATATACTTGGCCGTTTTATTTACATAGAACTTACAATCAGCCCTTGCCCAACAGGCAGCCAAGTGTCATTTGTGAAGTTACTTTATTTATACTGATTAGAGTGGCTCCAGTATTTGGGTAGGAATTCATTTTGAATTTTGCCCAGATAGCGGCCTGAAAGACCTGCTCTTTGCGATGTTTCATGGGACTTCTGAAAGTTATTTTCCTTATCTTGGAAGACGAGGAGGTGTTCGATTCAACTTACCTAGGATCAGGGGGATCAGCTCTACACAGCACTTATTGTCCATACTCTGTGAATGATGGCATGACCTGTGTGGACACGAAATGAACACTGAAACTTATTTTATTTAGCACAGCATTCATTTTTACCTAGATCTGTCTTCACAAGCTTTTTACACAAGTGTGCATGTCATCGTTTGTGCCAAACACTGTTGTGCGTTCTGTGAATGTTGTTCTTTTCTCCTGGGCTGGGAAGTCTGTTCCCCAAGAGTGGCCAGTTACAACGACACTTGTGCTTTCCCTTTCTTCATAGGTGATTTAAAGGTGGGAAAAAGAGGAACGGCGCAGAGGGGGGTCGTCCCGCAATTGCTAGGTCCAAAAAAAAAATATCCTTACAGCCTCATGTGTTGCCAGTTTACGGTTTGACGTTTTGGTGATGTAAATGAATTTTCTTCAATCATGCGTGGGGATGGCGGGGGGCTGAAACATTGTTAAATGCTTATTTCATATGAAGTGCTTGTATTGTAGATTTTGAAGAGATTTCAGTTTCCCTTTGTGAGTTTTTTTTTTTTCTTCTTATAGATCGTCTTGACATATTGGCATTAATTTTGCTTCCTATGTACTTCGATTAGTCCTCAAATTTGGGGGGTTGTTTCCCTGGTGCAATTTTTACATTTTCATTGGGGTTGTTCTTGTAGCCCACAACTCATTCTAGCTGGATGAAACTTGCAGTACATGCATCTGATTGATATATGTGAACAGGAGATTTTTAGTAATGGTATTATGTTAAATATGGTTAGCACACTTTCTTCTTAGTAGGTTGTAGTGAGTGCTCTGGCGTAGTATGTTCATTCTTTTCTTTCAATCATCTATCGTCTTTATCTTTCTTCTTTCTTCTATTTGTAAGTACATATTGTTACTTGTATGACCTAATTGTGCTGCAAGTGCTGTAAAACTCTTACAAAAACTTTTTTTTTAAACAAAAAAAAATCTTTCTCCCCATATGTCTTTGTTGTCTGTTATGCCTGTCTGTCAACTTGCTTTCTCCCAGTGCTATGTGACTTTCAGATTTCATATTCTTCTCTGTAACTTGTACAAACATATGTCGGTGTTTAAGAGTGTGTTTCTTTTCCTGGAAAGCTGGTCGCATCGGCAGTGGTCGGTTTGACCGAGGGGAGAGAGATGAGAGACCTCGCAGCGCCATCATAGGGAAAGGTACCTGTGCATGCACCCTCTGCCTTTCATCTCTGTGCATCTTTCAGAAATGAAAATGGTGAAGTTGAGTTGCTCTGCAGTGACAAATCCATACTAAACATTCGACAAACAGAAATATTTTCATTTTTGACTATCATTTGTAATTGATACTCAAAAGTTTCTACCTAAATTTGTTACAAATCGATGCTGTTACCTTCAAGTAATCAAGAATACCATGAAAAATTTTGATTCCTGAAGTGATCCTCTTTTGAGATGAGTCCTGAGCAGAAGGGGATAATCAGTCGCAGTCCCACTTTACTTTCTCATGTGAAAGAATGCTCCATTTTGAAAGGCATCATGAGGTAGCTAGCCATGCACTTCTCCTTCCTTCTTTTCGCATACTCCCAAGGACAAAGATTTGTTGGGTGTTTGTTTTGGGTTTTTTTTGTACTCAGCCTTTTTGTGAGCCTGGTTTGGTTGCTACAGAGCTTTCAAGCAAGAGAGTTTTGGTTTGGTTTATGCTTTTTTGAACATTTTTTTGTTGCCACACCTTTTTTTTTATTAAAATCTTCGTATAAAAGGTCACTTTTCTTTTAATTACGTAATTTACACAAGTACCCGGAAAATGGAAGTTAGGACTAGATCTAAAAAATTGTTAGACCCCAAGAAGAATGCTCAGTCATACATTGTCTATTGGAAATACTTATCGAATTAATTCTCATTCATGTTTAAGGGGGTTGAGGAATCTTTCATCCTTTGAGAGAAAGGGGGGGGTATAGAAACAGTTTAGCAGTTTCTTTTATTGTACTTTTTGTGAGTAATAAAAGGATTTGATCTGTGTAGAACGTTTATTCGTTGCTTTTTGGTTTGTTTAATATACTTATTTTCTTTAATTTAAAAAAAAATCTTTCTCTCACTCTCTCTCTCTCTATATATATAATATTATATGAATATATCAGTTTATACATATCTATATACTAGTGTACTCGTAGTCATAGTCTTATCAGTAACTTATTTTTCATATTATTGCTAGATTAGATCGTAAAACAATTGTATTGTAAGTTGTTCAAAGAGAACAGAGAAAGTTCTTTTTACTGTAAATAGTTGTTCCCTACGTGATAATTTTAGAGACTGGCAGTGTAACTTTAAAGTGGAGAGTAAATGTTTAATGATTTCACTTAATGAAAAATGTGAAATGCCAGTAAACAGCACTGCACCATCTTGACCTTTTATTTCAGCTCCTTAAGCGCCTGAAATAGACCTGGTGAGGGTTTCTACTCACTATTTTGGAAGTTTTTGTTTCGTAAGGGATGTTGCGTTATGTTAGTTATTGGGAATCATGAGAATCCTTATTACTTGTTGGAGCCTGTGAGTTCAGTTTGCTCCATCATCGTTCACTTTTCTTTTCGTTTTAACTGGGGGGTTTTTCCTACTGTCTTCTTTTGTTCACTTTCGTTTATTGTTCACCGCAATTTCTTTTTGAAATGTTGTAACCTGTGGACGTTTAACATTTCATTTTGTGGGTGTTAACAAACCCCCCCCCCTCCTTTTGAACATTCTTTCAAATCTATGATCTGAGTTTGGATTTTTGCTGTTCCGCATTATTTGCTCTTTGTGAGCATGCTTTGTTTCTGTTGTCTCTGCTGGCATGTTGTGGGTGAGTACAGAGCTCCACCGTTTGGTCCTACTTCTTGTCTTTCTCTCTGTTGCTTCTGCCTGTAAGTCTCACTTTTTCCCCAGCACTAAAAATGACCGTTATTGTGTTCAAAGTGCTTCTCTTCACTCAAACCAACATAGCATGTTGTCCCCTTAGGGTGCTATAGGTCTGGTCGGTGAACAAAATCGGGTGGAGACGCCATTGCGTACTGATAAAAGTTCTGGACGGCAGTATAACTACGGATTCCTGTTCTTTGTTTTGGCATGACAGAAGAGCTACAGTGCAGCTGCATTATATCACCACTGTCTATGTTTCGCAGCTTTGAGGAGCTCGCAGCCATTATTTTTGTTTGTCGTTTCTCATAGAAATATACAAATTTTACAGTGTTTTCACTGCCAGATGGACCCAAACAATGCTGCGTCTTCCTTCTATTTATATTGTGATTTCTTATTTTTATGTTTATTTTATTTTTGTAGTTATTTTTGTTGTTTTTTTTATTATGAACACACTAACCTGATTGTTATTAATTCAGTTCAGACAAGTGTTTGGTAATAGTATTGCTTTTCATGCCTGCTACACAAATTCATAAAGCTTGATTTAGATAAGCTTTGCGTCTGAAGTGCAAAAATCTGTATTAAGAGATCAAGTTTGAAATTGAAACTGGCATGGTATTGAGAGAATTTTTGAGTCTGAGCCTTAAAATTCCCCTGTAATTCTCTGGGCTCCACTATGGTACCAATAACGGAAATTTATAAGTCAATTGTGCTTGGGTTCGACACTGTTGTACTTAAAATGTATAAGTTGCTGTGGATAGATCAGACAACATTTGAATAGAACACAATGAAAGTGTCTCTTTTTAAATGGCTCATTTTGTTACTTGTAAAGACTGGTCAATGAATAGAAAGTTGCAATACTTCTTTGACACGACTTAACAGTAACTGCCTTGGTAAACAAATGCAATGTCAGAAAAAGTGCCCAGATTCTAATGTTTCTGTTAGATCATCGATAAACATTGCACACATGACATTTTCACTAACAGCATGGATGAATGGTTGAAAGATGTGTATCTCTATATTGACTGCTCAGTGAAAGACTCACTTTTTTAAATGGCATATGGCAGAGTCTTGCGCTCAGAAGTCGATCTGTTCTCTTGTCTTTGAATAGCGCTGTGTGGCCACATTAGTATATGTAGTCCATAGACTTCTCAGTCTTATGGTGTATGCTGACTATTGTTATCATGTGGGTGGTTGGAGGATATTGCTGGTGGGCTGAGGAGGTGTATACACTTTCTCTTTCAGAACAGCTGAGCTCTCTCTGACACTCTCTCTCTCTCTCTTACTCTCTCTCTCTTTCTCTCTCTCCGCTCTCCGTCCGTCCTTGTCTCTCTCTCCGCTCTCCGTCCGTCCTTGTCTCTCTCTCACTCTCTCATCTGCCCAGACACACACACTCTCTCTCTCTCTCTTTCTCTCTCTCTGCTCTCCGTCCGTCCTTGTCTCTCTCTCACTCTCTCATCTGCCCAGACACACACACTCTCTCTCTCTCTCTCTCTCTCTCTCTCTCTCTCTCTCTCTCTCTCTCTCTCTCTCTCTCTCTCTCTCTCTCTCTCTCTCTCTCTCTCTCTCTCTCTCTCTCTCTCTCTCTCCTTGTGGGTGGTTGACAGGTCTTTGGTGTGGTTTGTGTTTGTTACTCTCTTGTAACACCTAATTTTCGGTACTTACATGACCTCATTGTGTCGCAAGTGCCGTAAAAGTCTTACTGAAACGAAACACTCTCTCTCTCTCTCTCTCTCTCTCTCTCTCTCTCTCTCTCTCTCTCTCTCTGTGGGTGGTTAGCGGGTGCTCTGGTGTCGTTGGCTTCTTCTTTCCTATCAAACATCTGTCATCTTTATCTTCCCTCCTTCTTTTTCGTGTTTGTTACTCTTTCGTAACACTTTTAATCTTCGGCACTTATATGACCTTATTATGTTGCAAGTGCCATAAAACACTTACTAAAAATAACAAATATCTTTCTCTCTCTCTCTCTCTCTCTCTCTCTCTCTCTCTCTCTCTCTCTCTCTCTTTCTCTCTCCCCTCTAATATATTTACACATGTCTATATAATGCTATAACGACATTGGTCCTGTGTTGTGTCCCCAGGGGGCCTACAACCCAACTCCCCGCCCCAGCAGTCTCCGCTGGATCAGCACCACCCCCCACCCATGTCCCCCCAGCCCGGGGAAGGGAAGGCTCCTCGTGGCAGAGGGCGGGGGAGGGGGAGGGGCCGGGGTAAGACCCCGGGTGCTGGTGGCGGCAGCGGGCCCGACAAGTCTCCCCGGCCCAGGACCTGGTCGGGGGGAGACGACCGTTTTGTGGAGTGCCAGAAGGAGCTGCTGCTGGTCAAGTTTGAAAACACAGCTGGTGATAACAGGTCAGTTAGTTAATTCAGTTGGTTAATAACTTGTCAATTAATGTGGTTGGTGATAACAACTGGTATTAATAGGTCAATCAATTCGGTTGGTGATAACAGGTCAGTAAATTAATTCAGTTGGGGATATCAGGTCAATTAGCGTGGTTGGTGATAACAGGTCAGTTAATGCAGTTAGCGATAACAGGTCAGTTAATGCAGCTGGTGATAACAGATCAGTTATTTCAGTTGGTGATAACAGGTCAGTTAATGCAGCTGGTGATAACAGATCAGTTATTTCAGTTGGTGATAACAGGTCAGTTAATGCGTCTGGTGATTACAGCTGGTGTTAACATGTCAATTAGCGTGGCCGGTGGTAACTGGCGAGTTACTGCAACTGGTGTTTACAAGTCAGTTAGTGCGGCTGGTAGTAAAGGTGGTAACAGGTCAGTTAAGGTGGTAACAGGTCAGTTAATGCAGTTGATTGTGGCGGGTCAGTTAATGCAGTTGGTTGTGGCGGGTCAGCTAATGCAGTTGGTTGTGGCGGGTCAGTTAATGCAGTTGATTGTGGCGGGTCAGTTAATGCAGTTGATTGTGGCGGGTCAGTTAATGCAGTTGATTGTGGTGGGTCAGCTAATGCAGTTGGTGGTAACAGGTCAGTGAAAAGAGGATTGGATGGGGAAAGTTGGGCCAGAATATATTTTTAGTGATGTTTCATTTGGAATTCTGTTCCTGATATTTAGCTTGAGGAAATAGATGTAGGTATCCATTACACAAAAGACACCTATCCAGACTGAGAGAAATACTCGGGCTCAGCATGATTTTGTTTAGGACTGGACCAAAATAGAATTTCGGGTGTAAATAAGACTTTGTTTTACTTGGTTTTCCTTCATTGTGTGATTTTTGTGTACATAGTGGGTGATTGCGGGGTCCAAAATGTGGCTGCAATTTTTTTCTTTTCTCACACTTGACTGCTACCATTAGCCTTGTCTATTCATTGGTTGGTATCATTTTGGGCTACGGTGCAGATGACAGTAGTTAGAAACCCTAAATGAGCATCTTCGGATATAGGATGTTCAAGCTGTTTTTGTGGTTTTCGGCATTCATGGTTTGGTTCTGTCCGAGATGGACGTTTGATTAAATACTATTTAGTGTGTTTAGCAGACCTGCCTCTATGACCAAAAATAGAAAATTTCCCCAGAAAATCTTCCCATAAATTGGAGGGTGGGAAAAAATCAGTCTCCAGAACCCAGTAAATCCAGATTATGTTGTGCACCGTTTGTGGCAAATTAATGTGTGTTTTTTCATATACAGGCAAATTAATCTGTGTATTTTCTCTCATTCACGATAAGTTGCGCAAGACTGTTTGAAACAGAATTCAAGAAAATCAAGTTTGGGTTGTATGCAAATCCGATTGTGGTTCTTCAATAGGCAAAAAAGAAAAAGAGAGATTGAAGGGCTCCCATCTTTGTCAGAGTACTTGGCAGGTCTGATATAAGGACGTTAGACTCATGCAGCACCTACCTGTTGTTTGTGGGGAAAATGTGGCAATTATAGTATAGGGCTGATTTATGGTTTGTGAACTGTAACTGAAAACTGCAGCTGGTTGGAGGGTGCCAATGGTACATCCACATTCTAACCCTTTGACCCTTTACCTTCTGATGCTACCGTGCCCCTCTGCCAGAGCTCCTGAGCGATATATTACTAACATTCATATTATGATCGTCGGAATCGCATTCCATATCCCACTCAGGGCAATCCTTGTCAATACCAGCATCTAATTCTGAAAGATCTTCAAAATAATAATCGATGTCTTGTGTAGTAAACACTGTTTTCTGTACACATTTTTTCTCAGATGGGATGGGTTGGGGATGGGGTATCGCTCACTGGTGTACCCGTGGCTAGGCATACGGACTGTTTTACGCGCCACCGGTGTACTGTGGCAAGGGCTCAAAGGGTTAACTCCCTGTCTTGTGGAAGTGCACCAGACCGAGATCCCTGCACTGAGTGACCAGTATTGTGTCCATGTGCCTCACTTAACTCAAACTCATAACTCAAAGTGACTCGTTATTTTGATTGTTTTGGTGGGTTGTTGGCGGTTGCTCTGGTGTGGTTTGCTTCTTCTTTCCTATCAAACATCTATCGTCCTTATCTCCCCTTCTTCTTTTTTATGTTTGTTACTCTCTTGTAACACCTCTTCTGGTGCTCATATGATCTTATGCAGTTTCGAGCGCCGTAAAATTCTTACTAATACTAAACTGATTGTTTTGTTCTTCTCCAGTGTTGAGGTGGAGTACGAGGGTCAGCAGCTGCCCGTGTCTCCCCCGGCGACGCCAAAGTCTGGTGGAAGTACACCAGGCCGAGGTCCCACTGGGAGGACTCCCAACCAGGGAGGCTCGCAGAAATCTCAGGGCAGGGGAGGCAAATCCCCACACAAGCAGCAGAAGCCAGGCAAACACGGCAAGGGAGGCAAGCAACCTCCAGGCTCTGGCCATGAGGACTGGGACCCAGAGTTGTCCACCCATGGCCCGCCCGGTCCAGCGATGGATGGTCGGGTTCGATCCTCATCCTCTCACTCACAGAGCTTCGGGGACAGCGAGGAGTGGGAGGACTGCACAGAGTCGAGTGGTGTGCCTGATGAGGATGACTACGCTGCGGCCCTGAAGGGTGCCATGGACATGAACTCTGACCTCCACCTAGAGTGTCGGTTGAACCCAGAGGCTCCCGAGTTCCTGCCCACCTCCCCAGATTTCTTGAAGACACCACCTGGGCACGTAAAGGTGCTGAACTGGGCGGCCAGTGTTGGTAGCCCCACCTCACCACTGAGCCAAGGCTCGAACACATCCCCTCGGTTCTCAGCACCAAACACTGTGACATCCAACACGTCGCCAAAGTCAGCCTCCAACGTGTCTCCGAGATCGGCCTCAGATGCATCAACAACTTCCTCCCCAGGCTCATCTGCATCTCAGAAAGCCGCCAAAAAGCGAGAGGAGGTGGACGATGTGCCAATGGCTGACGAGCCCCACCCTCCTCCCTTTCTAATGGATGCTGTCGCGGACAAGTCTCCTGTTGTGAAGCCCTCATCTAGTGTGAAGGAACAGAAAGAAGTGGAAAGTAAAACTGTGGCCAATGACAAAGATGAGGAGGAGGAGGATGGAGATGAAGAGTTCGAAGATGTCCCCGAGGACACAGTGGAGATAGTGACAGGGTCCCAACCTGTCAAAAGCCTTAGTGATGAACTCTCAGAGAGTGAGGCTCTTGTAAGTTTCAATTAGTATATCTCTTTAATCAGTGAAAGGTATGCCTTGTACATTTGAAATGTTGCTTTTTTTATGTATAAACATTCTACATTATACTGATAAGACTGGCTACTAAAGATTTGATTAAGGCTCTTACACTTAATGGTACTGTTAGAACATATTTAAAGTTCTTTTTACAATAAGAAAATGAAAGCAGCAATAAGTTTGGTGTACATTTGAGAAATAAACCGATTTTTTAAAACTGAAGCTAGTAAGTCTACTAAATTTACTTATCCAGGACAGAAGAAGTCAAAGATTCAAATCTTAATGGCATCAAATTATACTGTGACTGTAGTTTAAACTCAGTGTCTAGGTGAGTGCTAGTCTCAGAGTATTCCAGGAAATTTTGCAAAACTTAATGTTGGTACTGCCATATGCTGGGAAGATAATCCCTCCAAAAAGTGAGCTGCTTTTATTTTAAAATATATTTCACAGTGTGCCACTGTTAATCTCTTACATGAAAACTGAAAATGTCAATATTGTAGGTTGAATTTCTTCAAAGAAATTTGCATTAAATAATCAACTCTAGTTTTCCTGAGATCCAGCTCTAAGAACTGTTGACACTTGAGAGTTTTTCTCTCAATACTTCTATATAATCACAGGAACAAGATTATAATTTGTGTGTATAAATTATGTTTGCCATTCACTCCAATGTGTCTGTCCTCAGAATGGTCCAAAGGAAGAGAAGAGCCCTGTGGCCAGTGCGGAGTGCTCGGACACCGGGGCACCTGCCACCAGTGGTGAGCCAGAGGCTGGGGAGAAGAGCCCAGAACTGACCACTTCCGGCACAGACGACATTCCTCCCCCCTCGGAAAGCCTCCCAACAGATTCCCCTCCTGTGAACACCAAACCACAGACCCCTGATGTGAATGGAGCCCCTGACTGTAGCACACCCTCTGCTCTTCAGGAACCGCAGAGTTTGGATGAAAAGATTGAGGAGAAGTCTGCCGAGGAATCACAGCCTCAACCCCCGGCTGACACCCTCTCAGCACCGGCTGACACCCTCTCAGCCCCGGCTGACGCCGTCTCAACCCCGGCTGATGCCGTCTCAACCCCGGCTGATGCCGTCTCACCCCCGGCTGACGCCCTCTCACCCCCGGCTGATGCCCTCTCACCCCTAGCCTCGACTGACCTTGCTGAGATCAAGTCGTCTGAAGCCTCCGAGACTGCTATCTCTCCGTCAGACAAGGCTTCTTCTCCTACAGAGGAGAAGTCTGCGCAGGAGCTGGACAAAGTGGCCAGCCGTGCAGACACCTCTGCCCGCCCCTCAGAGGTAGTCTCCGCTACTGCTGCACAGAACGGTAGCGATGATGGTTCCAATGGCTGTGGAGACACTCCAGACGCCAAGGAACCCACTGGTCCCGAGGGACCCAAAGACATTGACAGCCCAAAGCCCAAGTCTGTGAGCGAGTGTGACAGCCCCACCTCTTCCGCGGCGGCCCCTACTGCTGCCAGTGTGGAGGCTGAGGACAGCTCGCCATAAACTGCCCACTGCTGACCTGTCTGCGGATGGCCTTGCCTGCTCAGGTGAGGTGTGCACATTTTTGGCGAAGGATTCTCTCCTTTTTAAAAAATTCTACCTTTTTAAAAAAAAGTTTTGTCTTGTTGGTCTAGCAGTCCATATACACATTCACATCGTGACCTCAGTGCTTTTGACAAAGAGTGAGCTTAAGAGGGTGTCACATTTTCACTATTTTAAAAAAAATGGAGATTCGACAAGAAAGCGCTAGGGTCACGAAATGTTGTTTCACCTGGTGGCATGATGTAGAGGCTTCAATGTATAGGGTTTTTTAAAAATAGTCTTGTATTTATAATAATACTGTTCCCCTTGGTGGTAAAGGATTTTAATAGGGTTGATTTTTTTTCTCTTTAAGGATTAGATGAATAACTTAAGCATCACTGCTTGTGTGCTGATATCACTTTAGAAACCAAGTCTGCATTCTAGGAAGATCCGTTCTTGCTGTAATCAACTAATTAAATGCAGCTTTATTACGATCAGAAATTAACAAAGTTTTAGTTACAAATTTATTTCCCTCTCTACTCAATTCATTTTTTGGGGGGGTCATATATAATTACCCTCTGAACTCACTCTTTTTTTTTCTTTTTAAAATCATATTTCCCTTTCAACTAGACTCATTATTATTATTAATCATATTTCCCCCTCTCCTTTATTTTTTTTTTTATTTTAAGATCATATTTCCCTCTCAGCTTAACCCATTATTTGATTTGTTTTTTCGCCAGGTTGAGGGCTTGGACTGGTGGCCTACAGTTGGACCCATAACACAGTGATCCCAGTCTGCTCTCCTCACCTGATGCCATCGCAGAGACAAAGAATCCATTTCGTTAAAAACCTGGGAAAGCATTTGTCCTTATCTTTTGCTGTCTCTCATTCACCGTCTCTCTATCAGTTTGTCTGTCTGTCTATCAGTAATCCCAATTCTATCAGTTTGTCTGTCTGTTTTCCCAGGACATTATTTTTTTTTTTTCACCTTGCGACCCTAGCCCACCCGTTCAAGTGTGCACGCGTGTGTGTGATGTGATAATTCATAGGGATATATTTTATGTAAGTCATTCGTATACTACTACTACTCCTACTGATATTTTCTTTTGATGGGTGGAGGGCTACAGTATATCAGTATAGGTTGTATACAAATGTATTGTTTCCCTAGCTGACTTGTGCACACATATGGCTTGCTGTCGGTTTAGTTGAAGGTCTACTGCGATGTTCCTGGTTTAGTTGGAGGTGTACCTACCCCCAGACCAGTCTGACAGCTGGATTAGTTGAAGGTCTGCCAGTTTATAGTCTTTAGGCTTGTGACAGGGATCAGTTAGGGTATTTATAGGCTTGGGACCGTCACGGGCCATATTAAAAATGTTTTAGTGGTTGTAGTTTGTCAGGGGTGTGTGAGGGGGGGAGGGGGGTGAATTCCTTGAACATAGTCCCGTCTGGTTGCTTATCGTGACATACTTGTCAAAATTCTTTGATCTAAATGACAGGACAACATGAATCGGTCCACCCAACCATACACCAACATTGTAAACGCCACCACCTTTGATCTAAATGCCCCTCGGCACTTTCGTTACTGTGGCCAATCATGAAGAACTAATGCTATGTGTGACCGCTTAGATCTTGGGAGACTGGTCGATTTGGCGGGACGTGCGGTAGACCGCCGTTGCGCAGTTGACCTTGAACTGAACCGGCACCCATGGCTTGATTGTTTTTAAACCTTCAAAGGACTCTATGTATACATAAAGCATGTATTTTTTACCTTGAGAGGTTTCTGTATGTATACACATAAAACGTGCAATAATATTGTAGGAAGAAATTGTAATAGAGTTCATTACTTACTATTCACATTATTTCCTGCTTGTTCAGTTTCTGATTATGTATTACTTCCCCTTGGCAGAGGTTTTCTGCTCACTAGGTTAACTAATTTATCAAAGTGATGTGGCTACATATGAATTCAGTTATGACAATTTCTGTATCATGCTCAGCATTTTGCATCTGTAATAATCCACTCTCTTTTGAAAAAAATGTTTTTTTCTTCTTTTCGGCCTTTCTATAGTTTTGTTGTGTGTACCAGATATTTCTTTCTTATTTTCTGTTTTACAATTTGAAACTTTTCTCTTTTTTGTTTTTTCTTTCTTGATCGGTGTTAGTTTATTCAAAGGAACAGAAAGCAATAAAGCAAAAAGCGTTAGCTATTATCATTTTTCTTTGTACCTGTACTTTCACCTTGCCCTTTGTCTTTCGAGTACATACATCTCTCTGATCCAAATGTTCTGAGCCACTTAGAGATAGTTGTGGCATTCTGGAGCTCAGAATGCGTGTGGTGATATAGTTCTCTGCTTCTGATCTTCGGGTTTTACATTGCTTTGTGCAGTATACTAAAATGAAAAATTTTTTTTTCGTCAAAACGTGCTTTTCAGTTGTGCAAATGAAACAAATGTATCATTGACAACCAAGATTCTATGCAGATCATTGTATACCTGCCTTCAGTTGTGAATATATGACATTTTCTTATATACTTGCACAAGTGCTCATGGGATGGGGTCTGTAGCAATGATGTACATTTTTGCCTATTCACTCTTGGAATTATGAGGCACTATGTAGCATTGTGTAGCTGACCTTGATATTGGACTTTTTTTCTTTCTTTCCCTTTTGAGCTGACAGATTTCAGTGTTTGTATTTGTTTCTTCTCTACTCACTTATGATATTACTGAATATAACAGTTTGCTTTAGATTTTTATCCTAGAGTGCCTAGAGTATTTCAACTTTTCATCTCGTGGAGTGAGACTGGGGTCTTTTGAGCAGGTTCAGTGAACTCTGTTACCCATACAAATTATATTACAGTTCAGTCTTCCGGCAGATCATGCAGTTCCACATCTAGGGGAAAAGATACAAGGTCCTAGCTCTTCTAACAGTTAATCCTAAACTGTGTTTAAAACCGCTCAGAAATTCAAGTTAAAAGGTCAGGGTTTTTAAAACAATTAGTTAACCTCAAGGAAAAGGTATTTGAAGTTCTAGCAATACTGATAACAATTTTGAGAAAGAGTTTTGGCCTAAGGAGGCATTCAACTTGAGAGAAAAGTCATAAAGTCATTGGCTATGATATCAGCAAGCAGGTACTAGTCTGATTATGTTTAAAATCCACACTACCTCCCAATGTCCCAAAGACTAGATTTAATATAGTATTGAGATTTGTATATTTGAATGATATAAGATATTTCATTATGTAGTTTTTGTACATCTCTGAAATTGAAGTGCGAAATCAAAGCGTCTTTTGGGGAATAGACAGATAATGGAAGAGAAACACAGTTATTGTTGTTTTTCATCCTGAATGAGACAATCAAGGATTGGGGCCTTACTTATTAAACTAGAGCAGGCTTACTGCTAAGGATGAATTTTTCTTCTCTTGTAAATCCTTATTATTCAAAGTCCTGTATCTTTTGTCATTGGGCCTCCTCTTATCTTCTGATTCATACTTGAAAGAATTTATGGATATTTTTCTTTTACGTATGTAATGTTCAAAGTTGACATTTGGTTGTGTCTGTACAAGATGACTCATTCCTGACCCTGAAGCATTATTGTACCATAAGCCATTTGAGGTTAATGGCAGTTTTGAAAGGATGCAGAAAGGAAGCGGAGCAGAAGGATGTGCTTTTTGACAGTTATGGTCACCTTGTAGAGATTTCAACTGCACTGACAGGATATCAAAATGAAGAGATCAAAGGTTATGTTGTGTTGAGCTTGCTAGCCTGAACCAAAGTCCCTCCACAGTGTACCTGTACTCAAGTGTATCTCAGTATTAAATGACAGTCGCGTTATGTGAATAAAATCATATTATTAAGTGTGTATGTGTGTGTGAGAGAGGAAAAGCTGCAGTAGCACACTTGTAGAATCCTGTTCCAAGTAGGCCTATCATGCCAAGTCTTCATACCTCAGATAGAGCAACTTGGAATCGGGGGGGGTGAGCTCACCAAAGCCAAAGGCATTGATTGTGTTCACACCCGAGCTTTATTTTTTTCTTTGTTGCTTGATGTTTGAATGAGTTGTTCCTTGCTTCTTGGAACAGGGCTCTGAAGTGACAGTATGAATGTGAACGTGACTTTGGTTGTGTATCACCTGGTTCTGTCGTACTGGGAGTAGATCTGACGAGCTTGCAACAGCATTTATTTAATACTTGCCTGTACAAATGTGTGTCGAGTGATGACGTGTTGACTTTGATGTGTACCGCCGCTGAGAC